TTTTACTTTTTACGTGTTGATTTTTTAATATTAATTATTATATCAAAACGTAGTAGAAATTAAAAAAATTACAAAAATACTTTAATTAGTGTCTTATAATACTTGTAGAAGGACACTTGTACCAAAAAATTTATAAATATAGAGATATTTTTAATATTAAGTATAATAACACAAAAGATAAATGTGACCGTTAAAGGCGAATGAAAGAAATAATATTTTAAATTGAATTGTTACGAATGAATATGATATATATATATAACCCTATCATGATATATATATATGTAAGAACAATGAATTGATTATTGTTTTTTAAAATATGAATAGTAAATTTATAAATAAATAAAATTATTTAGTATAAAATAAATTATATATAAATTTAAATAAAACAAATAATAATGAAATTGTCTCATATAGAGAAGTATTATTAATTATTACTATTATTATTATTATTATAATAATTATTATTATTGAAAATGATACTATAGATTTGAACTGGCCATTGAAAATGAAAAGAAGGGAATGACCTGCCTAACCTCCTCAATCCAAGCCAATGAGTAATGAGTTAGGGTTGTTTATTTATTCTTAATATTTTGGAAATAAGATATTTTTAAATATGATGAGTGTATTTGTTTTGTTAGATAATTTGAAAGAAAATGTATTGACGTAGAATATATAAAAATAGTGAATATTTTTGATATATTAATTTTTTTTTAAAAAAAATATGTCTTTTACAAGATATAAATGACAACACTGTAATATTCATAAAAATTCATATTAAAACATTAATTAAATATGTTTGTAAATTTTAAAGCGGCATGGATACCATAATGAAATACTCCACATAAATAAGATGGCTGGAATTAATCTCATCCTTTAATTTTATTTAATATTTAATAATAAAAATTTAATATAAAAATAAATACTCCACCATCTGTCCTATTGAAATGTTACTTTTTTTTCATTTTCGTCCGTTATAAAATAAGGTTACTATTTTCTAATTTAGTAACTGTACTATCTACTTAACATAATAAACTCTTTCAACCTACAATATATTACACAAATGCCGTCAATTTTATATTACACCATACTAATATGGGTATTTTTGTCTTTTTTTAATACAATCCAATATAATACCAATTGTTGAGCACAAATAATAATAATAATAATAAATAATGACAATAGGATTCTGGATGAGTCTGGATATAAGCCAAACGGCCCAGAAGTCGGGAAAAAGAAGTCGGACAGACGGGGAGGTCTGTCAAGAGGAAGATCGTGCAAGGAAGAAGCATGGACAGACGGTTTGTCAAGAGGACAGTCTGTCCATCTAAGGGGATAAGGAAAATAGAGCTGGTCGGTTGGTCCGTGGTCGGGACCACAGTCAGTTGCTCTGTGGTCGGGACCATAATTGGTTGGTCTGCAGTCGGGACCGAGGTCGGTTGGTCCGTGGTCGGGACCACAGTTCGTTGCTCTGTGGTTGGAACTACAGTCGGTTGTTGCGGAGTTCGGACCAAGTAAGCTCGGGTGCGATAAGGTCGGACAATGAGGTCGGACCTGGTCGGGCCAAGCTTAAAGATCGGGCGCAAACAGGCCGAATTCGAAAGTCGGGTATGGTAAGGTCTGGTGCGGAGATGAGGTAGGATAAGGTCGGGCGTAATGAGGTCGGGCAGTGAAGTAGCATGTGCAGGTCGGGTGAGAGAGCAGTTCTGGGGCGGTTGGAGGAAATTGCAACTGGCGAACGGTTGGAAGAAGTTGCAACTGGCGAACGGTTTTTGAAGGTCGGACGTGGTAGGACGGTTGACACACATGTCAATAGAATAGAACTTTTGGGGCGGATAACAGCGGTTATGATAACCGACCAGATAGCGGTTCGAAACGTTTCTTCAACAGGGTTATTTAAGGATCCGGTGCTGTTCGAAAAAATGCATCTTTAACCGACATCAAATTCAAGAGAATTGCTTTTGGGGATCACCACTTTTATTTTCCAGTCTTTTATTTTATTTTCCCTATTTTATTTTATGTATTCTACAGTGTTTAGAGATCTCTAATCTCAGGCACTCATCTATCAAATTCGGGGATATTTCTCTATTTTCGGATTTTACTTTTTATTGTTGAAAATTTACATCAATAATTTGGCAACCACAGTGGGAGCAAAGGCAAGATTGTTGATCTTACGTCAACGGAGAGTTTCATATGATTAAGGTCTGGCCGAATCATCAGAAAAATCAATATGGCAGGCACACAACCTCAATCATCATCAGCACCGGTGGGAGAAAATATTTCACCACCAGTCATGCCAAATCCAGGGGAGATTCCCCAACCACCTACCGATTGGTTGTCTTATGTTCAACAATTGAACAATCAACAAACTTTGGCTATGCAGAATATGTTGCGCAAGCAACAGAACATCATGTTGCGTGAACACCAAAATCTAATGCAGAACACATTGGATCAGGCGTTCTCCAGATTCACCCTGCATTCAAACATGCCTCCAGCCATGTCACATTCTCGTTTTCAGGCGACTTTTCCAGGATCAACGTTTGCAGCGCCAACATACGTTGACAGTACATTTCCAAGCGTCACAACTTTCAACTGAACAAATATGGGGAAGACTCCTATAACTTTCCTAGATAATGTTCATTTGGGACCGAGGGTTGATAATACCCAGCCGAATGAGAGATTGGGAGGACAGGCTCACAATCCCCTCCCAGCCGAGCCAACTGTCACCAGAGAAGAAAGATTGGGAGGACAGGCTCACAATCTCCTCCCAGCCGAGCCAACCATCCTTAGAGAAGAGAGGTTTGGGGAACAGACTATTCATCCCATTCCGGTGTTCGATCCGGTTCCACCAATGATAGATCCGGAGGACATCGCTCAAGTTTTACGGGTGCATTTTGGAATGAATTCACAGACGATGAACATGCCGGTTTATCAGAGACCATTTCTAGAGAGAATCATCAACGATTATCCTCTCCCAAGGAATTATCAACCGCCAGACTTTCATGTTTTTTCAGGAGAAGACAGATCCTCCACTATAGAGCATGTGGGTCAGTTCACAGCACAGTTAGGAGAAGTCGGTAATAACCCTTTTTATAAACTGCAACTATTTAGCTTGTCTTTTACCAGGACAACTTTTTCATGGTTTGTAAATCTGCCACCTGGGCAAATACAAACTTGGGAAGGTTTAGAGATGGCGTTCCATGCTAGATTTTTCAACCCTTTACCAGCCGTTTCTCTTTCCGATTTGTTGGAAATGAAACAATGTCCGGAAGAGTCAGCCTCACAGTTCATCGAAAGGATACGGTTGATGAAAGGACAATGTCCTACAGTAATCAATGAAAAAGAGTTGATCAATTTAGTAGTCTGCAATATGCATGATCGGTTGAGAGAGGCACTCACTGCTCACGATGTGGAAGATCTGACAAGTCTCGCATCCAAGGCAGGGAGGTTAGAATCCCTTTTTAGAGAAAATGATCACGACTTCCGTCAAGGGGGAGATGCTGAAGCAATGTTAGTGCAAGATCGATCAACGTGCAGACCACCACCAATCCGCGATAAATGGAGGTCGGGTCCAACGTAGCCTCGGAAGATGTAGGTCGGATCTGAGGCTGACGTAGCCTCAGATGCTGACCTGCAAACTCCTAAAACATCACTGAAAGTGACGTTTAGGAGTCTTGAGGAGGAGGCTTATTGTTGAGCACAAAAAATAATAATAATAATAATAAATAATGGCATTAGGATTCTGGATGGGTCTGGATATAAGCCAAACGGCCCAGAAGTCGGGAAAAAGAAGTCGGACAGACGGGGAGGTCTGTCAAGAGGAAGGTCATGCAAGGAAGAAATATGGACAGACGGTCTGTCAAGAGGACAGTCTGTCCATCTAAGGGGATAAGGCAAATAGAGCCGGTCGGTTGGTCCGTGGTCAGGACCACAGTCAGTTGCTCTGTGGTCGGGACCACAATTGGTTGGTCTGCAGTCGGGACCAAGGTCGGTTGGTCCGTGGTCGGGACCACAGTTGGTTGCTCTGTGGTCGGGACCACAGTCGGTTGTTGCGGAGTTCGGACCAAGTAAGGTCGGGTGCAATAAGGTCGGACAATGAGGTCGGACCTGGTCGGGCCAAGCTTAAAGGTCGGGCGCAAACAGGCTGAATTCGAAAGTCGGGTATGATAAGGTCTGGTGTGGAGATGAGGCAGGATAAGGTCGGACGTAATGAGGTTGGGCAGTGAAGTAGCATGTGCAGGTCGGGTGAGAGAGCAGTTCTGGGACGGTTGGAGGAAATTGCAACTGGCGAACGGTTGGAGGAAGTTGCAACTGGCGAACGGTTTTTGAAGGTCGGACGTGGTAGGACGGTTGACACACGTTTAACAGCGGTTATGGTAACCGACCAGATAGCGGTTCGAAACGTTTCTTTAACATGGTTATTTAAGGATCCGGTGCTGTTCGAAAAAAGACATCTTCAACCGACATCAAATTCAAGAGAATTGTTTTTGGAGATCACCACTATTTTCCAGTCTTTTATTTTATTTTCTCTATTTTATTTTATGTATTCTACAGTGTTTAGATATCTCTAATCTCAGACACTCATCTATCAAATCGGAAATAATTTTTTATTTTCGGATTTTACTTTTTATTATTAAAAATTTACATCAACACCAATATTAAAAAATCTACGTACAAAAAACAAACGTCACCTTTCCGTCCACGGAGGGAGTATATCCTCTCCCATTTAAAAAGGTTTTAAGTATTTAAAATATATTCACAAAATAAAAATATATTGTAATTCAAAATATGAATATACATTATTGAATTTTTATTAAAAGTGATATAATTGAGATTTAGACTATATATGCTGATGTAATTTTTACTTTTATTTCTAAATAATAGAACATGATGATTAAAACTAATTAGAATATTAATATATATATATTGTATACATATACAATAAAGCTTTCCAATTAACATGATTTTTTTAATTTTTAATAATATTTATATATAGCAAAATGTTGATGATAAATCCCACTGTCACCGCTTAACCGAAAAGGCTCTAATATTTGTACAACTCAGAAAACAAACAAATAAACAAAAAAGATATTTTTCAAATAAAAAATATAAACAAATATTAAATATAGTGAATAGAATTACCAAATTTCTGATCAATCTCCGCCACGGCTGTCTCGCCGGAAATAATTCCGATCAGTCCGCCTCCGCAGTGGCGGTCTTGCCGGAACTCCGATTATCGAAGAGCTCCGATATCTCCTCGAGGCTCTTCCCCCTCGTCTCCGGCAGCATCAGGTAGAAGAAAATGGTCGCCGCCGCCATCATCCCCGACAGCACAAAAAACGTGCCGCCGAACGTAATCTTCTCCGAAATGCTCAGAAACGACATCGAAACCGCGCCGCTCACCAGGCGGTTCACCGACACCGCCAAGCTCGTCCCCTGGGCCCGAACCCGCATCGGAAATATCTCCGACGAGTAAACCCACGTGATCGGCCCGAGCCCGATCGAGAAAAACGACACGTCGGCGCACACCGTCAGCACGCACAGGGCTATCGCCCACGCCGGCTTGCGGCGGCGCCGCCCCAGGAATCTCGACCCGAGCCCGAGCCCGGCGAGGGAAACCGCCATCCCGGCGGTGCCGAGGAGAAGCAACGGGCGGCGGCCGTACTGGTCGAGGAAAAGGGCGGAGACGAGGACGAAGAAGGTTTTGGCTATGCCCATTAGGACTGTCACGCCGGCGAGGCCTTTCCGGCTGCGGATTCCGGCGGCTTTGAACACCTCCGGCGTGTAGTAGACGACGGCGTCGTTTCCCGACGCTTGCATAAAGAAATTGATTCCGATCGCCGCCACCAGTATCCGCCGCAGCGGCGGCGATGGACAGAGGAGCTCCTTCCACACGCCTTCCCCCCGCCACGGCCCGCCGCCGCCGCCGCCGGAGGCGGCGGCGGCGGAGATTTCCGTCAGCCTCGCCTCCGCCTCCTCCTCGGTTTCGGATGTTTTTAGCAACACGTTTTTTGCGTCCGCCATCCGGCCTTTCATCACCAGCCACCGCGGCGACTCCGGCATGGCGAGGACGCCGGCGGCGATGGCGACGGCGGGGACGCCGGCGAGGCCGAGCATCAGCCGCCAGTTGTATCTCGGAGAAAGACCTCCTAGACTGTAATTTGAGACGTATCCGATCAGAATTCCGACGTTGATGAAGACCTCCGGCAGGGAGGTGAGAAACCCTCTGGTCAGCGCCGGCGAGACCTCCGCCGTGTAAACAGGCGCAATCATCAGAGAATACCCGACTCCGACGCCGGCGACGATTCTTCCGGCGACGAGGAACGCGAACGACGGCGCTAACCCCATTAAAATCGCCCCAACCAGGAAAGTAGCCGCCGCCAGAATGATGGTGTACCGCCGGCCAATCCAGTCCGACGTCTTTCCGGCGGCCAGCGACCCGAACAACGAAAAGACGTTCAGCGAACCCACCAGAATCTCCTCCTGCACCGACGAGATCCCCAAATTCTCTTTGATGAACAGCGCCGCGCCGCTCATCACTCCGATGTCTGCAAAATCCCAAATTCCCAAACTGAAAACCCTAAAAACAGAAATTAATTACAACTCAAAAATTTCATCTAACTGACCATAGCCCAAGAGCATTGAGTTGGCGGAGGCGAGAATCGCGCACTGGAGGGCGTACTTGTTCAGGCGGGTCGGCCGGCGCCGGGAATTCTCCATGGCAGGGCACGTGAATTTGCAGAGAAAGAATCTTTTTTTCTTTCAGAGGAAGAAGATGAAGGAGATTTGTTGTGTGAATGTGTAATGTCAATCTTTTTGAATTTTGAATTTATTTTTATTTTTATTTTTATTTTTATTTTTATATCAATGTGTTTGTTAGTATCTGATAGATAGATAGAGTTTGGCTATATTTAGAACCAATTGGAATTTTGTCCTCACTCACTTCACTTGCATTAATTTCTCTTCACTAATTTATTAGGTTTAGGCTGTGCCCTTCATTAATATTTGTCAGATATTTTAACGCTTAATTTCATCCATTTCTATAAAAAATTATTACAAATTAAAAATAATAATAACTTTAGATTCTTCTAACACAAGTTTTAAATTTTCGTTCTAATTCGGTTGAGAAATGGAAACATAGAGAAATAATAATACATTCTCCATGTGCGGGTATAGGAGAGAAATAAAAAAAAAAATGAAAATAATTTATTTTTCAAATTTTATTTCTCTGACTGAAACAAACAAGATAAATGATACAATTTCATTTCTCTATCCCTTATTTATTTGTACCAAACACAACCTAACTTCTTTTATTATTGTAACCAACACCCAAAACAAGGCCCAAATTTGATAATGGCCAATCCTGTTGCAGTTGAAGGTCCAAATATGATGAGAGATCAGCCCAGCATCTGCAGTTGCCAGAACACCTCGTAGACCTAGTGATAGAAGAATTCAGTTGGGAGGGGAAGTTACTTAGGGTGTGTTTGATCCAAAGTTTGGATTTTGAGTTTGGGATTTCAATAGTAAAAATTTTGAATTTGAACGTGTATATATATACAATGGTTTCATATCAAATTAGATTGGATATTTGGATGTACCAAAACAAAGATTGATATATACGTATACGATAGTTTTGTCCTCCCTCCGTTCATTTACAAGGGTTACATTTACTTTTGGCGCGGTGTTTAAGAAATAATAGTATTTTAATTATAGTGAGTAGTTAAAAGTAGTGTAATGACATTTTTGCCCTTACTTTTTTGTATAAAAGTAATGATGTGATGTAAAGTAAGGGTATTTGTGGAAAAAAATAGTGTATTTAATGAAATATAAACTTTATAATTGGACGTCCCAAAATAGAAATATATAAACTTTGTAAGCGGACGGAGGGAGTATGAAATTAGACCGAATATTTGGCCGTACGAGACTGAGATTGATGTATACATATACGATGATTTCATATTAAATTAGACCAGCCGCAAGTTTACGGGGCCGTACCTCTCAAATTTACGGATCTGTACCTCTCCAATTCGGCTGCGGATAATACGGTTGAATCTTGATTTTAGATTTAAAATATTGATTATTCGATAATAAATCTTGGGTTTTGATTGACAATGATATCAAAATCTGTTACCGAGTTTAAAGATTATGTAAACTTGGTATCGGGATAAAATCCCAAAATCAGATATATTTAAAGTTGAAAAATAAATAGATTAATTAGTTTTAATTCCCGAAAAATTATTATTTATGTTCCGAAAGGTTGCATCCCTTCACGTTGATAGTAGTTTAGAAACATCGTATCCGATCACAAGCACAGTTTAAATTTTATAAATAGGTTCGTTCGCATACACCATTTAGATTTTATAAATAAGCTCGATGTAATTGTTGTAAGCACATATTTCAACATTTCAATCAATTTTTTTTTTTTAATTTTTTTTATTTTTATTCCCATAATTTATTTAATTTTTCACACATTCTTCTTTTTTCCCTAATTTTTTACAATCAAACATTTGGACACTACATTTGTTACAAATTAAGGATTTAATTACTCTAAATCCTCAGGAAAAAAAAACTTACATATGTTGATTGAAATTATCATACATATAAATTCCACACTGCATGCATGTTAAGAATACAAGTCTATGAGAAACAACAAGAACTTGTATTTATTTATATCAATATCGTTATGTTATCGTTAAAATTTGTCGATGGCAGCCAAACAAATTTAGACTTGTCTAAATCGACGTAAAATTAGATTTTTCGGCCTCCTCAAGAAAGTGTCCGAACTGATCTCGCATTAAGAATTAATGCACACACGGATTCGAGTGGAATTCACCGCAATAAATTAATTCAGGGGTGGTTTGATATGATAAAAATTAAAGAAAAATTAAATCAAACAGATGGGCAATAATATAATATAAAAGCTGGAAAATGAATTTTATCGAGATGAATGTAAATTGCAAAAATATAGAAATAAACAAAGGTTGAATGGAAACAAGTGTAGCAACGAACATAATAAGCCAACAAAAAAATATGAGAACTAATGCAAGAAAAAAAAAAAAAAAAAAAAAAAAAAAAAAAAAAAAAAAAAAAAACCAAAGAAAGATTTTCTTACTTCCCATAACTTCCCAACCAACTTTGGATAAAGATTTTGCTTTCTCTTTGGCTACTCCATGATTTCATTTGGACACGTCAACACATCTTGGACGGGACCGGCCAAACTGAACTTCTTCATGGGCTAGATGGGCTGATCATCCGGGTTGGACTGCTTTTTTTTTTATTGGTCCTAAAAATTAGAAAGTAACAGTTATATACTTCCAGCTATAAAGTATACATATTTTTATTTTGGGACGTCTAATTACAAAGTAACAATTTCGTTAAATACCCCACTTTTTTCCACAAATATCCTTACTTTACATCACATCATTACTTTTATACCAAAAAGCAAGGGCAAAAATATCATTACACTATTTTTACCTACCCACTATAATTAAAATACTATTATTTTTTAAACTCCGCGCCAAAAATAAATGTATACTTTATCCGTGGAGGGAGGGAGTATTAATTTACATATTAAGTGTAAAATAATTTTTACATTAAAAAAAATTATGATCTATTATCACTAAAATATATTATTTTTGTCGTTCAATTTTATTTCCACTTCTTATGTATTTTACAAAAAATATATGTATATATATAATTAGATCACGGAGTTAATAATATTTATTAAATTCTTCATAAAAATAAACTAATACCTTTGGAATAATTAACGTAGTATGATTATATTCATATATAATCTATGGAAAGAAATTAAATAATAAGAAATTTTTCTCAAAATTTTATCTGTCCTATTGAGACCATTAAAATCAATGTAATCAAAAGTTTACTAGTGAGTTTTTATTTTTATTTTTTTTTTAAAAAAAGAATATTAGTGAATTACTATGAGTTGTTATATTCCAAGTCCACTAGCAATGTTAGCGGGGCGGTTCACAACGGGTTTTGTAGGCCTCGGGATCCATCCCGCTAAAAAATATTGGAACCCAAGACTTGCTCCGTTCCGCTTCAATCCAGTTTCAGGACCTATCCTACCCCGAACCCTCTGAGTTTGGTATCAACCCGATAAACTCATTTTTTTTTAAGAAAAAAATAAAATAATTTTTTTAAAAAATAATTTAATACTAAAAGAAGTATGCATTAAACTACCAAAAAATTATAGTTCTAAAAATAAGAACAATCAAATATTGACGATAGTCCGTAGTAATGAAGGTCAACATAACCCCGATTATAAAGAAAATTGTAGGAGAAATAAATGCAAAGATAATTTAATTTAGAATTAAGGTTCTATTTTATATTAAAAAAATTAAATAAATAAATAATATAATTTATATTGTATAAATATATAAATAAATTATAATAACTATTAAAATATCCGGGTCCGGATCCGGGTCCAGAGTGGGGCGGGTTTATAATAAAACCCATAACCCGCCCCGAATCCGGCCGAGTCTAAAACTCAAAATTCACAACCTGTCCTGAACCAAATTATTTAGACCCGAATCCGTCCTATTAAGACTGGGTCCGGGACAGGTCCGGGACTAACCCGTCCTATTTGACATCCCTAAAGTCCACCGTGTGTTTCTTCATTTTTTTTTAAAAAAATAAAATTTTATTTAAATAATAATTTGATAGAAATTTTATAATTTATTTAAAAATTTAGAAACTAAATAATAAAAATCTAAAATAGATTCACAAAAGATCACATCTTTCATTTTCATGCACAAAACAACGCAAACAAAAGGGCAACTCAAGGGAACAAAAAACAACACAAAACTAAACAAGAAACAATGGGTATGCTTATTTGTGTTTCAGATATTTTATGTGTAATTTTAATAATATATATACATATATACTCTCTCGGTGGCGGCTATCGTGTTCCATATACTATAGACACGAAAATTTAGGAGGAATATATTTAATAAATAATTAAGAATATATTAGTGAAAATAATTATCGTATAATAAAAATAATTTTAAATTAAGATTAAAATAACTAATTAGTTTAATTAAAATTAAAAAAAATTATAAATAAAAAATTTTAAAATAAAATTAAAGTGTATAATTATATTTTAAAAATAACAAAAATAAATGAGACAGACGAAAATAAAAAAAAATAGCAATAGTAAAGTGAGGCGAAGGGAGTATCATATAATTATAAACTATATAAGGAAAAAAAATGCATGAAAATACGACCAAATCAAAAGCAATGCTCAATAAACCTTACTACAACTTCTAGACATGATTTCTTATTTACGAAAAGTTGGTGTCTTATTTATAAACAGTGAAATTTTGAATTAAAATAATTATTGATGTGATATCATTATATAAATTGATATGATGTTTTGAATATAAAATTATATTTTAATACTCTCTAAGTCCATTAAGATTGGTTCATTTAGTCTAACATGACATTAAAAAACAATGAATATTTTATTGAAAAATAACAGGTAGTTGAAGATATTTTTGAAAATTTAGTTAAAAATTAAAATAAATGAAAAAGAATGTAATAAAATTAATGATATTTCTTCTTGAATGAGAATAATAATTAAATATTGTCAAAATTAATAATGAGATAAATTTAAAATACCGGGTAAGTGAGAATAAATTTGATGAATGAAAAAATATAATATAATAAATATAAATACATATTTTAATTTGATGTTTTTTTTTTTTTTTTTTTTAAATACTAAAATCAAAACCAAATCTTGACAACAAACACACATACTTTTATATATATATATATAATACTCATTTCGTTCCATTTAAAAATATAGTTATTTAAAAAATATTATTATTTTAGAATTCAACAATTTAAAATAAAAATAAATATATTTGTAATAGAGAAAATATTATATTAATAATTTTAAAAAATTAAAACAAACAAAATAAGAGTCAACTAGCCCAAAAAATAACATGTACTGTGTAAATTGTTCCTAAAAATACCCTCAAACTCAAAGATGTAAAGGCCAAGACAGCATTGCCCTGAGCAATAATTAGAACAAACTTCAAATAAACTTTCAGAACAACATAGCTTACAGTATTTACAAAAAAGAAAAAAAAAATGTCGAACGTCGATCGCCCGGGAGCTCGACTCGATCACATAATCTGTGAGCTATCTAAGGAATGCAACAAGTTAGTCGAGGCATTGGAGATCCAATTCACGGTGGTATCGAAAAACAACTCCCAAAACCAGAGATCCAAAGCAAGAACTGAAGAGAGAATGAGCAGAGCAAGAGTCTGGTATCGATTCAGGGGCCAGCCGAGGAATCGAGCAAGCCTTTTAAGGAATGGTAAAGAAGTGACCTTAAGATTCTTGTTGGCTATGGACCATGCCGTAATCCACTGCACCTGGTAGGGGATGAGGTCGAACTCCTCGCGCAGCCGGCGCCCCAAATCAGGCATGTGCCCGCCACCGTATAGTATGGCAATCTTATTGTTGCCGCCATCGATTGCCCGGGAGAGTGCTGCCGTGGCTGCTTTGTTTCTCTCACCGATAATAACAGAATCCTCTTCGACATCGGCTGTCACCTGTGTGAAGCTACAAAAGAAAAAAAGGATCAAGAACCTTAATGAGGGAGTCGAATAACAATGGTCAAGAATTATGTTTTCCTCGGAAAGCAAAGGTTGTGTTCTTTGGTGGATTTTTCCATGTGTTTTTACTGTTCAGCTTCTTTTTTCCGTCCAAAAGTATCAAATCAAACAATTACTTTTCTTTTTTTCATATTATACTACAAATCTATTTTACATTCAAAACATCACATCAACCTCTTTTTATATCGAATCAGACAACTATTCAAATTCAACTTTTTAGTATCCGAAAATCCAAACCCACGAACAAACACACCCAAAGTATTTGCTTGTAATGAATTGCTAATTTCTGGTAATGATTGTCGATACTAATTTCAGGCTCAAGAGGGGGAGATATGATATTAAGTACACGTTGTAGACCGGGAAATGTATGAATAGGGAGATGTTTGTATCTCTCATACACAAGTAGATATAGGGTGCGTTCCTTTTGTGTTTTTACATTTGTTTCCATAGAATACTATATACGACAAACACTTGTTTTCAGTAAAAATATCACATCAAAATATATTTTCAAAATTCAAATTTTTACTATTCCCATAAAGAACACACCCGTGAAAGAGTAGCTTTCACAGGTAGGGTAATTATGCCGAGTCATTAACATAAGTTCCATTTTCAGGTGGCTACGGGACTAAGTTAAATTTTAGGATGAATAGAATACTCGAATTATCTTATATGATTATTGTTTTTTTACCGAAACGCTCTATATACCAGACCCTAACAGTAGAGATAACAGAAGACAAATCATGTTTGGACAATTGTTTGTGGAAGGTCGAAGCATGAATATTTCACCTTTCTTGATGCAAACCTAGTAGCATGTAACACAAGAAATGTACGTGAACTACTGCGGTAGTATCATTCTAGAAGATCTAAAGATTTAACTGGATTGATGGCTTTAGGAGCTCAACTTGAATAACAATCTTGAAATATCAACACAAATAACACGAAATTTGCAGACATTTTGTGAATGAATCTGTACAATAGACTGATCCACGCCTTATATGTCAACAAATAGTCGGCTAACAAATGCTACAATGAAAGGGTCAAATAGTTTAATGTTCCCATTTAGGGTGTGTTTGTTTGGGGGTTTGGATTTTGAGTTGGGATTTGAATAGTAAAAATTTTGAATTTGAATAGTTGTATGATGTGATATAAATAGGTGTTGATGTAATGTTTTGAATGTAAAATTGATTTTTAATATAATATAAAAAATAAAAATTAGGTGTTTGATTTGATTTTTTTGGAGGAAAAAAATGGGATGAATAGTGTACCTAACTTGGTAAGAAAATACCCATTCACCAACTTCGGGGATAATAGAAGTATGCGTAGCTGCTAGCTATTTTAAGAGAAATATTTTTGCATGAATAAGTTATCCATATGGATGTACCTTTCCACTTCTTCTTTTTATATCTACGATATTTTTACATGTAGGATCATAATTCAAGAAATTTGATACACAATAGTTTCCTAGTTCCTCTATAATGGTTGGCTATCTATCGTATGTAACAGATTAAAAGTAAAATTAGAAGATGTGCATTGCAAAGCTTTAAATACTTACTCAGATGTTAGCCTCTTAGCGAGGAAAACTTTCATTGCAGCGCCAAAATCGAGCCTGGACAAGGCTTCTAGTTCAGGATACTCCTTGTTACTCCCCACATCAGCACAGACACCCCCAATAATAAGCAGACCAACGAGAGGCATTGGAATGACACGAGAGGCCCACAAAAGTTTGGATCTCCAAGGACCAAGATCTTCCCGAACAAGAGTGGGCTGCACTATTGCTTTTGTAGATTTAAGTGTCATATCTCGAGCAAATGTAAAGAGGCTCTCGCCCTTTTCTTGCTGAAAGATTTGGCAAGAAATGTGAACAATAAGCAATCCCGAAACTTTTTTTGGACTCAACTATTTCATTAGCCTATTCATCTTCACCAAATAATGGTTCTAAGAATTTAATTGCTTAATTTATGAAATGCGGGTGATATGATATACAAACCTGAAGTAATTTAAATGTTTCAAGATCAAGATCGGCGTGAAGCCAATTCCCAGCTTGGTAATCAAGACAGTCCAATTGAAAATCTAGCATAAGGAGCTTAGCCATCTGACGCTGAATGCAACCAATAATATTAAATCCTTGGCCCTTAACTTTCTTTTTAGCCTCATGATTCCTTCGGTTTTCTAGACTTTCTCGACTCGCAACCATCTCATAAAGAACACAATCATACGTCTCGAGTACATTTTGCAATGTTGCAAAATACCTGCAAGATTATTCCCTTTAGAAGTTCCCTAAAGTGCTACAAAATACTATTGCATTCGTATTCAACAATCAAAATACACATCTACAAATTCAAATATATCCAGCATTCTTCAATCAGCTGCTTCTACATTTGTTTTCATTCAAATTTCTAAGCAAACTAAAGGTAGCCATAGACCAAAAGTATTGGTATCGACTACCTAACCACTGTGAAACCAGAAGATTATATATATATATATATTTTTTTTTCAGGTATTCTGCAAATAATCACTCATGCTGTAACTTCAATCTCCTGTGTGCAATTTTTAATTTTCCTGGTGAATAAAATGCTGATGGCAAAAGCAGCTATAAAGTTTCTTCAGTAATTCCATTTCATATGTGCTCAATTATGGATATTTATGTGGTAATCTTCCATGCTTGAATGAAGTTATGTAGCAACAGAGAATAAATAGAATTCCAGGAACATCGTCATTCGTCAGATTATACAAGAAACTCACTCCTTATCGGCGATATGAATTGTTGAGACCAAATCGACCTACACAGGGAACGAAGAAATGGGGAAAACAAACAAAACCTATAAGCAATGAGAAGAGAAGCTGCGTTCGAAAGACCAAATTGACGCGAAAAATAAATAAATATCTAAAATTGAGATTCTCACTTGAAGAAAAGGTTGGAGAATGGACCAAGGGAATTTCTTGCGATATCTAACAATAGCAGTCTGCAACTGGGAATTGGTGTCTCTCCTGAACCTCATGAAATCCGCAATAGAATTATTCCGCAGAAACTGGTCGGCGGAAGAAGCATGAATCTTGGATGAAACCCTAAATCTGGAGCGGCGGGGATTCCTGGTGGCGAAGAAGCAGCAGGATTCGGAGGTGGAGGTGGATGGAAATGAACAGAGTGATTTGGGGTATATGGCCGCCATGGAAGAAGGAAGGGATTGCTTGCTGCTTCCCTATCTTAGGTTCAGATAAAGGCTGTGTGTACTGTGCATACTTCACTCCCAAATATTCAAATTAATTCATTATATTTTTATTAGTCTATTTAACTGTGGAGAATATCATTTTTTATCTTTTATAATATTGTACTCTATTTGATAAGTAAAAAGTATACATTTATTTTTTATATAATAATATTTTAATTATAATGAATAGTTAAAAATAGTATAATTATATTTTTATGTAAAATAAAAATATTTATAAAAAATAAAATATTTAATAAAATAATTATTTGTAATTGGACGTTTCAAAATAAAAATATAAATATTTTATAACTTAATATAAAAAGTATTAAAATTTATTTAGCATCAATACCTATAGAAGATCAGGTATATAATAGTATAATATTATTTTTGAATTAATAAAATTTTATATAATATGAATTAAGTACTTATATTATTTATTTATAATTTATATAAAATAATTTTATAAAATAAAAAGAGTTAATATGTTATGAATTTAATAAATTTAATTTATATTTATTAAATATACTTATTCTTATTCTTCGGACATAATCATTTCAATTGTTTTAAGTGGTAAAAAATAAAAAAAACATATAAATTATTATCGACAGACAAAGAGTTACTCCCTCCGTCCCAGATACCATGTTTACGTTGCCGTTTTTATCTGTGTCACATACCATGTCACTTTTATTTTTTGAAAAATGATTACACACTTTAATCTCATTTTAAATTTTTTAATTTTTTTTAATTTTAATTAAACTAATTAGTTATTTTAATATTAATTTATAATTATTTATATTATAAAATAATTATTTTTACTAATACATTCTTAATTATCTACTAATTACACCCCTTCTAAAATACCCGTGTCTACGGTATCTGGGACGGAGGGAGTAGTATTTTACTTAAAACAATTAATTTTTTTTTAAAAAAAATAAAAAAATCAACCGACGACAATGACAGGAGATGTCAAATAGATAGAAGGAGAAAATTGTATCCATGACTAATAGTTAGAAATTAATGTAACCAAGAAAATCAAACACACGACTTTGTGTTTACCTAAGTATTTTTTAAATGAAATAAATTTTTATAAATATTATTAAAAAATTATAATATACATATATTAATATATTAATACAATATACTTAATATCTCATATATTTTTTATCCGTTCACAATAGTTTAAAGATAAAATATTAATTTTTATATTATTAACGTAATATTTTATATTTAATATTAAAAAAAAAACATAATACAAAAATATAAAATGAATAAACCCATTATGTTTATATATTTTTTATTATTTATAAATTATATATTCTTTAAAATTGTTATATTAAATATTTCCTTTTTTTTATCAAATATCAAATTAAATCATTAATTTTTTATTATTTTAAAATTTCTTAAATTGTTTTAAAAATCTCTTAGGTTATGTTCTTTTATAGTATTTACCACAAGTTTTTATTATTTTTTTTCTTTCTAAATATATCAAATCAAATAATTATTTTTATTTTACATTCAAAATATCACGTCAATTTGTATCTATATCACATCAAACAATTATTCAAATTCAACTTTTTACTATCCAACAATCCGAACACAAAAAACTAAAACCCACGGACAATCACAGCCTTACTAAAGCCACTATAATCAACAATAATGCATGCATTATTACACTTTTTGGAATAAGGTTGTGTTCTTTTATAAATTTTACAAATATTTTTATTATTCAAATTCTTTTTTTTAAAAAAAAAAAATATCAAATCAAATAATTATTTTTTTATATAAATTAAGAATATATTATTATATATACATAAAATACAAAGATTGAAAATGTAGAATTTATTTTATGTTTTCTACTAATTAATAAAATATTATTATTTTTTAATTTATTATAAAATTTTAAATATATATTTTACCTCTGGACAAATGGAGAATATCATAAATATATTATGTTCCGACAACAATTCAACTATTATTAGTATAATGTAGGCACATTTACATTACATGTGTAAACAAATCTATTATTGCTGATTTGATCTAATTAACATATGTAATTAACGCATACAAATATGTTTTTGCATAACACAATATATAGTGTTAGATTATTTATTATTTATTTATTTACTTTTTATCTATTTTGAGCTATGCTAAGAATTGACTTTATTATTAATACAATTTTTGAGTTTCTATAAAATATTTTTACATAGTATCAGAGCCAAAAACATCAAAAATTTGTTCTTCAACTTCTGGCCACTCTCTCCTCCAGCACCATCGTAATTCCTCGTCGTCCAGCGACCCTTTGCCGGAAATTTTTTGCTGATCGGCGGCGGGTGTAGATCACACACGCTAGTCAACTCTCACGCTAACAGAATTTTGACCGGCGCTGATAACCATCCTTTTTCGTGTGCAGGCTCATCTCATCGTTCTTTATGTTATGTTGTGATCGAATTTTATTTTCGTGATAGTTTTATTTTTCAGATTTCTCTATCATATTTCTATAATTTATCGGTAGTCGTATTATAGCAGTGGAATATCATTATAGTCATCATCAAAGTCATGTCATTTAGAATTGTCATGTTAGACCACCTCGGAATGCGACAAAATATTTAGTTATCTTATCAGTCTGCATCTGCAACCCTCCAAAACAAAATATTGTGACTTTCTTGCATCAAGTTCTTATTTCCGGTTCATCTCCTATCATAGCCAATTCAGATAATCCTAGGTGGTATTTTGATTCTGGTTGCTGAAATTATATGACATCTACACTTAGTCTTTTGACCGATGCGTACCATGTGTCCTCCTCACCACCTACACAATCTAATAATGGGAGTCGCATGAATATTACTCATTCAGGATCTGTATTTCTACTATCCACACATATACTTGCTGCATTCCTCATTTGACTCTAAATCTTGTATCTGTTGGCCAATTAGTTAAGTAGGGACTTATTGTTACTTTTTCATCTTCCGATGTGCAGGTTCATGATCAATGTAGAAGTCAAATTCTTAGGACAGATCGAAAAGTGGGTCGACTATCTAAGGTATAGTATTTGAAAATTTATCCTCGTAATTGTTCTTATTGCTGCTATTCATACTCCTCTTGCTACCATTCCATCCCCTAGTCTTCAGTGTCACTCGTGTCTTGGTCATGTATTTTCTTTTAAGATTCAGTTTTTATAACAAAAATAAAATAAAAATAATCAAAATGAGACGGAGGGAGTATCAATTTTATTAAAAACATATAACTTATTCCGCCTTCTAATTTTGTTTCAAAATTTTTTGGCATTAAGTTTAATAGGTAGAGATTTTATTGAAACTCTTTTATAATTTTTACTCCATTTTTTATAGTAAAAAAGGTATAAAAATTAGTGTCTCTCTATCCTATAAGGTGATATATTTGGTCTTTGACACAGAAATATTAGTGGGTACTATTAAATAGCATAATTTAAAAATTAAGCGATGTAATAAGAGAAAAAAAATATGTATTTTTTGTGATGTGATATGATGAAATAAAATATAATATATATTTATTAGGAATTTAATTATTTCATATTTTGAAAATGTAATCGGATATATTACTCAAACCCGCAAAAAATATTGCAAAATATATTAGAGTATATATATATACATATTTCCCTCTCTCCGATCCAAACATATTTATTTCCATCGTCATCAGAATTTAAGTGAGTGGTATTTATTTTTTTATTTGTGTGGTGTGATAAGGTAATATAACAATTAAGTATGTTTGTTTGGGGGTTTGGATTTTGGATTGGGATTTGAATAGTAAAAATTTTGAATTTGAATAGTTGTATGATGTGATATAAATAGGGTTTGATGTGATGTTTTGAATGTAAAATTGATTTTTAGTATAATATAAAAAATGAAAAATATGTGTTTGATTTGATGTTTTTGGGGGAAAAAATTGGATGAATAGTGGAAATCCTCCAAAATCCTTCAAACAAATATATCTAAAAAGGCTTTGGACCAAGTGCTGAATATCGTCACTATAAAAATTAGAATTTGTATTATTAAATTATATCATTAATTTAATTAAGATAATTATGACTTGAGCTATTCAGCAGCACCCGATTTGTAGCGAATTATTTTATAGAGAAAAAAATTAATTTTGATCTCAATATAATTAAAATTTATCAATTTTAGTCTCAGTATAAAAAACTCATCAATTTTAGTCTCATTGTATACAATTTCAATCAAATTTAGTCGTATTACAAAAATTGATTGAAATTGTTTATAATGTTACCAAATTTGATTGAAATTGTTTATAATGAAACTAAAATTGATGAAGTATTTATATTGGGACCAAAATTGATAAATTTTGATTATATTGAGACCAAAATTAATTTTTTTTCCTATTTCCTATTTCAGAAATATTAATGTGTGTTTGAGACAGTAAAAAAACAACTATTGCAGGGTGGCTGAGAGAGTAGAAAATATTTTTATCACTTTCTATATTATTCACTCACATAAAATTTTTAATAAAAATATATTATTTTTATAAAATATCAAATAAAAATATTATTTAAACTAAATCTCAAATCAAAATTTTAGAGGAAGTTTTTTTGTGGATTTGATTTTTGGATTTAGATTTTTTAATAATAAAATTTTGAACTTAAATAATCGATGTGATATAAATACATATTGGTATGATATTTTAAATGTAAAATAGATATAATATAATATAAAAAAATAAAAAATAGTTATTTAATTTGATATTTATAGAGAAAATAAAATTTAATAGTAAACATTTAAAAAAAAAACCACAAAAAACCCAACATTAATTTCAAATACTTATAAACTTTCGATTTTAAATATTTTCTGGTAAAATTAAATTGAATATGCGAGGTCAAATTAAAAAATAAATAAAAATCAACTTTCATGTAGTATATAAAAATTTAAATTGAATAAAACAGACAAAAGTATTGCCACTTTATCTCATTAGTATCATTAGGATGAATAGAAACGACAATGTGGACATGTTAGTTGAGACGGAGATAATAGTATTT